TCTACTGACCTAAAACAGGGCTCTGGCTATGCAAAGGGAAGGAACCAGCATGCTGTACAACAGGAGGAGGGCAGGATGAGTCAAGCTGGATTTGTAGAGTGGTGCTGAGAATACTTAGCTCACTGATACTAAGGAGTTGCTGGAGAGGCTCAGGAAGAGTTGGCCCAACCTGCATGCTGTGGGAGATTATGTTTATACAGCACCACAGGCGTAAATGGCAATTTATAGATATAAGACAAAGGGTATTTTTGACCTAAATCCAATGGCTAACAAGGAAGACTGACTGACCACAGGGGAAGGGACACATTGAGTAGAGCCAAGAGAGATGCTGTATTTATACAAACTACCTACAACACACCTTCTAAAATAAAAATCAGACAAGAAGCAGCTTACAGACGCAACCCTGCTGCCAGTTAAGTCAACGTTCAAACTCATCAACTTCAGCGTAAGCAGGATTGGGTCCTAAAGAAGCAGCCCCGAAGGATGGGATGGGCAGAATGGCAAAGAGGCTGCAAAGCGTGCCATCTGGCACTGTGGCTCAGCTGGTAGAACATCTGGACAAAGGAAGGGGAGGGAAAGGAGCTGTTGGTTCAGATCAGCTGGCTAGAGATTAATATTACAGTATAGCTGTGTGCACTCACAGCCCAACACCGAAGCACACAGAGCTTGCAAGAGATGAGGAGTCATCCTGCTTGGGTGAAGGGGATGTAGAAGCTGTAGGCCTGGCCTAAGAGACAAGGGGTCAGGAACCAGGAAACAAACACAATGCCTGTGTTTGTTAAATGAAAGAGATTGAGGGTTTGTGTGCTAGACTAGGACATGTTTCCCCAAAGCACTCGTATGACAGAAGCAAGGAAAGATTCCCCCATAGATTTTTATGCTGCCTGCAGCCCACCCCATCAGACTGGGAAATCTACAGCTGACTCACAGGGTCATATCTTCAGAGAGAGAGATTTACTCGTCATTTAGATCCATCCTCAGAGGCCGAGACAGGATTGCTCCATATTGCAAGCACTATGCCCAGTCAGATTTATATATCCCAAATGACAGGTCTCTTCCAGCCCCTCCTGTTAAGAAGCCATCACATCTTACTTTCAGGACATTTGCCCTGATATCCAGGCTAAAAATCTTCCTTTTCATCCCATTAGCTAGAGCCCTTATCTGTACCCTAAGAAATTCCTGAAAGGTAGTACTCTCTTGTTTTCTACAGCTGGAGGGCTTTGGGTGGAATGGACAGCAACCCACCAACTTTGACACAGCTCAAAAGCAGTATGTTAACACTGGGAAGCTGACAACGTATCAATAAAAACACTCCATCAATGCTTGTGAACTGCTGTACGTAGAGTAAGCAGAGCAGCAGCCTAAGACAAAGCTGGAGAAGATTTTGAAGTCCTCGGGGCCAACTTTAAATAAAGTGATGGGAAAAGGGCACGTCCCCGTCCCGTCCCCCCGCCCACCCCATCTCACTTCAAAAACTCCAATGCGTTATTTGTAGAGGAATAGCCAGAGAGAATCCTCCCTGCTCCACATTTTGGTTCCTTTGCTCTAAACGTTCAGAGCTTCCCAGACAGGGGATGCATTTCTTCCTGTCTGTTTTTCTGCATTTTGGAGCATCATTTGGTAAGTGTATCACAACCTGCTGCTTGCCTCAGCATGTGGCTTGGAGGCATGAGCATGGCTAGCTGCCTGGAAACACACACTCCATTTGGGGTTGGGTCTATCACCCAGTCAGCAGTGGGCTAATAAGCATTGTCTCTTGGCCACTGAACTGCCATACTACACTATATGAACTAATTTGACTAGCCTCACCGTGCCCTTTTAGCAAACAGGGTTGAACAGATGGAATCAGCTAACAAGGAGAGGGAAGATTATTGGGTTTCAGACACGCTTCAGTCATTATAACAAACACCAATTTATGTAACAAGCCTCTTCAGGTAACAGGATAAAAGTACCTTGACTCCAAATTAAATTTAGTCTCCTTTGTAGGCACTTCTTCCCCTACAATGCCTCACATACATTTTATTTATACTATCCATCTCAATAAGCCTCTCCAACAACTCAGCTCTCCTAGACAGAAGTCTTTTGTGCACACCCATGGGGGGGGTGTATTATTTAAAGGGTACATCACATGGCTATTTTATCTGGTTTAATCTGATTTAAATCACACTAGATTTACTCTAATAAAATATATTTATAATCCTCCTACAAATGCCTCTCTTCCGCTCCCATCTCCGCCATTAGAATATTTTAAAAGAAGGAAGATGTTCTGAAACAAGATTCTTGAATTCCCAATATTCCCACATTAAGTGCCACATGAGACAAGCATTTCAACCACAAAATACTCCAACTATATTTAGCCTGGGGCTATAGCTGGAGATTAAGATGTAGGACAAAAGTAAGGGAAGTGTGCGTTTCTAATCCTGTTTTAGACATTCTTGCAAATACAATGGCCTCACTCAAGCACCGGGTGAGCCAGCAATAACAGCAATTTCACATCTAAACAAACAGCTCTGGCTGGAGAGTGCACAGATCGAGTGTTAGGAAAGAGACTGGAGGAAGGATTGGAAAAGAGAATCTGAAACTATTAGTCACCATAAAAGTTTGTGGTGTGCTGACTTCAGCATCCAATGTTCTGAGTTGTACTCACAGAGACAGCTCTATATTAAAATCCCTGATTCTCTTGACAGATAGCTTAAGGGGGGGGGGGGGAGGGAGGCTGGATTTTTCCTTTATTTGTGCAGTTGAAATAGCAAAATAAATATTGGCAGTGCACCATTCTGACTTTAAAGGATGCCTTCATCTCAGTGTATCTGTCTCTTTCTTTCTGAAAAAAATAAAACATCAGGAAGATATTCTGAAGATCTAGTTTTGCAGCATCTCTGCTAAAATATGAATTCCCTGGCATGGATGGCTGGATGAACAGCATAATAAACCACACTCGAAGGAAGGTGTAAATAGAACAGGAGTGAGACAAGAGTGAGAGCGCTTAAAACTCATTGAAGAGGCCTTTTAAAGCAAAGAAAACTAGTAACAGTTGGACGGCAGCACTCATAGTAATTAAAAATAAAAGTTTGTCCCGGAGCACAATACCCATCCTCAGGGATTAAAAAAGCTGCACATACCATCTTTCTGTTGCCGTAAATACATTAGACTCTCCATCTCACTGCTCTTGGGTGCTTCTGCCAATTTCCCCCTGAACCTGCAATCAATCCCTCCTCTACCCACACACATTCCAAAAAAAAAAAAAAAAAGAGTAAAGCCTCTACTTAAAGTAGTTATTGTACAAAACAGATGTAAACTCAGATTAACATCCCAGCCCTGAGGGGGAGAGGAAGACTCGTTTCCCATCAGAGAAATACATCATTAAAAAAAAGTGACCTACAAAGACTTAGCCACAGTCAGTAAGACTGGACTCTGCATTATCAGAGCTCAAACAAGAGGTTAGCTAAAACCTTACAACACACACATAGGGATTGGGAGCCCTCTCACTGAAGGTCTATGCTCAGAGCGCTTTCCTTGTTAGAGGAAAAGGCACATCTTCAAGAGGAACTTTATAGCACGGCACAATGGAGTTGTAAGCCAAGATAAAGCAGGCTTGTTGTCAGAGGCATGTCCGGGGGGGTGCGAGGGGGGAAGAGTAGTTTATTTGCTGGAAATGCAGCTCTCCTGGTAAAGCAAAAAACTGTGAGAGTCAGTAGGGGGGCAGGGAGGCTGTATTTTGGAACTGCAGTGCTTGCCAAAGCAAATCCTGGGTGTACTGTTAACTTGCAGCCTGTCTTCAGGACAGAGGACTGTTCTCATCAGCATGTGTTGCTGGTCATCCCTGCTGCCCTCCTGGAAGCTGAAGGGATAAATAATCTATGTCCGTGGGAACCGTCCTACGCTGGGTGTCATCTGCGCTTGCAGTTTGCTCGCTGCCTGCATTCATTTGCAAATGGCAACAACAAAAAGCAGCTAAACCTGAGCCCTGCCAAGGAAATAATTTTAAAGAATGACAGCAAAGTAACACAGCTCAGTAGGATTTAAAGGCAAAGTCACCCCCACCGCCCCTTTCAGTTAGATGTGAGCACTGTACCATCCTTGGGGATTGGGGGAGATGCTTTCTCAACCCAGCCAGGCGCATCCAGTCTACACCTCGATCACGGCTCCCTGAGCATCTCTCTTATCTAGCTCCTAATAGCCTCCCTGCACGTGCGCTGACTCTTGCAGCAATTACCTGGGACCCGCTTGCTTTCAAAACCCCCAGCACTGCGTGGACTGACATCCATCCCCCCCGCCCCCACAAGCGCTTTTATGTTATTTGTCTTGTACTACTTTCCCTGCAGCAGGTGATAGCGGGGGCTCCCAGTGCAGCGGCCCTTTGTCAGATCAGCAGGATAATGAAAGCCAGACCGGTTAGAAGAGTATTCAACACCAAACACGCACACACCAACCGAGCTTTTCTCCCATACGGCCTCAGCAAGGAAGATTAAAGGCAAAGGAAGCCCAGCAGCAAAGAGCCAACAGACGTGGTGTCCTCGGACGAGGGAAACAAGGCAGCACAGAGGCAAACAAAACCAAGAGGAAAGATTGCAACTTTCAGCTCTTGTTGCAAACGTCAGTACAAGAGTGACACCGAGTTTTGCAGCCAAATCTCTGCTCTAGAACGTCTCTTCCTTGAGCAAGGGGGGCGTGGGGTGGAAGAGACTCAGGGCTGATCCATGGGACACAACTTGCCGCTTTTCCCCTTAAACAGCATCCACCCAGAAAGACTCGGAAAGGGTTACACGGTGCAATCTCCCCGCTCTCGTACATTTCAGGCGGCCAGGGCAGGGTTCCAGGCAGGAATTAGGAAGTGGCGACAGGGTCTGGAAGCCCTATTGCTGCATCAATCTCCTCCCCCGGGCTGCAACTAGCATCATTGACTTTCTCCTGCAGGTGCTTTTTAACTTGGATCCGATCGCCTTGTCCGCCCCCCCCCCCCCCCTCCCAAACCGGGATAGAACAATAACGTCTCTTACCATAAACCCCGTCTCCCCTGATAGACACCGGCACCACCGCCAGCAAGAAAAAACAAATCATCTCCATCTTCAACGCAGATCCCTCATAGCCGGCGAAGAAAAGCAGCCCCCAAAATGCCAGGCAGCATCCGGCGGCGGGAAACGAGATACAAGCGAAAGCTAATTCATCCACAGCCTCTGAGCAGGGAGGGATCCAGGAGAGGCTTGCCCGGGCTCAGAGCGCCTCAGCCCGGCCAGCGAAGTCAGCCAGCGCCGCCTGGAAGTCGCCGATCTCTGAACAGTCAACTTGGACGAAGGGGGGGAAAATAGCCCAAAATAGGAGCAGTAGTTAAAAATAAACCGGGGGGGGGGGGGAGAGAAGAGAGGAGGGAAGGTGGAAAAACCAAAACCAGGGCCCCTCTTCCCTCCCAGGCTCCTTAGGAGCTCCAGGAAAATAAACCCAACCTCGCACTCACTCACACACACGCACGATCACACCGGAGCCCAGAAGACACGGCTCCGAGTGGGGAGCAGAACCCAGACAAACTCCAGCCGCGGCTCTGCCCCGCTCCTGTCAAAGGGGGCGGGGGTCACAAAGAAACGCCAAGCGCTTCCTGAACTCCCGGGCTTCCCAAACTGGCTGCCAACTGGGGCCAACTTGAGAGTCCTCTCCCTGCCGCTAAGGAGGCGCTGGCTGAAGCCCCAGGAAGGAACAAGGGGAAGTGAGGGAGGAGGAGGAGAAAGGGGTGGGGGGAGGCTGCGATCCAGCTGGTGGAGGGAGGGAGGGGAGGGGGGCGGAATAGGTGACTCTCTCTTTTAGTCTCCAGCTCTTTCGGGGAAGGGGCGGTGTTGTAATTCATTACAGCCAGGGAGGGTTGTTTTTTTTAACAGCAGCTCCCAGCAGCTTCCCCCAGCTGCTGAGCTTCGATCCCCAGCCCGGCGTCGCCCAGGTGCATCACATCAGCCCCGCTAGCCCTGGGGGGGAATCGCTACAACACACGCCCCCTGCTTAGTGCTTTGCTGTTCCGCGTGGCTCTTCTCCCTCCCCCCTCTCTCTCTTCCCCCAGCCAACCTGGCAGATCTTTCTGGCTCCCGAAGTTTCCCTGAGGTCGTGTTGACTGGTTTTGATGGGGGCTTTTTAATGGTTTTGTGTCCCGTCCCCCCGCCCTTCTCTCCCTTTCCTAGCAGTTGGTGGCTACGAGCTGCCAAGCCAGCGGCGGCTTGAGGAGGCTGGAGAAAGTTGGATTCTTCTTGAAGGAGGCTTTGGAGACACCGCTTGACAGGTCCTGGCCCCGCCCCTTCCTCCCAAAGTGTGAAAGTCCGGGCGGGGGGGAGGGGGGGTTGATTCTTTTCTTCCTTCGCCCCAAGGTATTGGACCCGCACTTTCAAGCCAGTTGCGGCATCTGAGGCTCACTCTGCGTGCGCCTGTACCATCCAGTGCCTGGATCCGGCTTCACTTGGCCCCTTTGAATGCCGCTCGCCCTGGCAGGGACTCGGCCACCCTTGCGGGCTGGGCGCCTCTGGCCGCCCGCTTCTCTAGCCTCTTCGCTCCCGCCTCGGGCTGACCTGCGGAGTGAGGTGTCCTGGGCCCCTGCGCAGATCCGGAGTGACGGTGGCTCCTCTGTTCGCGGCGCCTCTCCCCCGAATTGAATCTATAATCCGTCAAGCCCCGGCTGCAAGTTCTGCCTCACCCCCCGCCCCACTCCGTCCCCCCTTTGGGCTTTTCATTTTTTGACTCCTCTCCACTATTTGGTTCCCCCCCTCCAGTTAAAGGGGAGGGGGGAGAGAGCCAATTAAATCGGCTGTGCTTGAAGACAGCCCTGCCTCCTGCCCAATTCCCCGGCCTCCCCGAGGACAAATTAGAGAAAAGAAAACAGGGCTGGGGGGGGGGGGGACCCCGCATCTGCGCGGCTTTTTCCTCCTTTTCTTTCGCATTCTTTCTCCTTTTTTTCCCTTCCCCCTGCAGAGAAATGTCAGAAACCAGGCAAGGATCCATTCATCCTGGGGACACACACGGCTTCGAGGCCCCGGGCAGAGGAGACGGGAGGAGCTGGTGGTGCACACGCTTGGTGCAATGAGCGTGGGGATGTGTGCGACACAGACAGCTTGGACCGTGTCCGTAGTGTAGCACTGGGGTACGTGGCCGTGATGTGCAGTAAGCATGTGTGCAGGCAGGGTGCCTAGGTGGGTAACGCACCGGGGTGTTGGGTGTGTTGCACGGCCTGCACGCTTATAGTTCCTGGGAGGCAAGGGGGTGTGCGTGTGTAGTGTATACGTTTCTGCACACGTATCCGTGCATGGTTGTGTTCCACGGCTGCGCATTTGCATGTGGTGGAAGCGCGCCTGGATGCTTGTGCACAGGTGGGGTTGTGTGGGATGTGTCTGCACTGCGCGTCTGCTGGCGTCGCGGGGCGTGCATGTGCACATTGTCCAGGTGTGTGTCAGGCTGCTGGGGCGCGCCAGGCTCCCTTTACCCATCCTTCATGTCTGCAGGCGGGCTGGGGCTCGGCCGCGAAGGCAGCCGTGTGGAGGAGCGGATGAGTCTACACCAGGCTGCCTTCTGCTCCTTAATGCTTTCGCTGCAGTCAGCCAGCCGCCTGGTGCGTTCGTGCTCCTCGCAGGGCAACGGGAAAGACAACCTCCCGCGGCCGAGTTTGCAGCCCGGCGGAGAGCAATCCGGAGAGGCGGGGGAAAATACACCAACCCCCTGGAATAATAATAATAATAATAATCCAATTGCTGCAGGTCCCTGTAGAGCCTCGGTGGCAGCACTCCGCCTTTCTTGTCAACGTCTCTGCCTGGTTTCGCGGAAAGAAGGCGCTTCTCCTCCGCCCCAGTGAATGAGATGCTCCAGCTGTCCCCTCTGCTCCTAGGTGGTGGAGCAAAAGTCTTACTTCTGTTCAGTAGGTCAGGAAGCTTCTTTTCCCTCCATGAACGCCATGTGAAAGACAAACACCCGCCTCCCCCTTCACATCCTTGTAGGGGGAGTATTAAATCAAAGTTGCTCCTAGAATCAAATCTATTCCCACCCCAGTGTTGTTAAAAACGATTGGTTCGGGGGCTGGAGGGAAGATGGAGCCAGGATGTAGGAGAAGCGGTTGCAATATTAAACAGGGAGGGCACAGGAGCTGCTGGGAGAGGAGTTCTGCTGAGTTTTGCTTCCAATCGAAGCCAAATCTGCCTCATGAAATATCGAGCTCCCTGGCCCGAGTTCCCGTGGAAAGACGCCGCTCTTTATTCCTCGCAACCAGCCTGTGCAGGAAGCAGATTAGACAACGCGACTCAGGGTGGGGGATGTGTTAGCAGGGAACCTGTGGGGGCTACTGCAAGTGCCCTGACGTTTTTCAGGAGAGAAACCCATTCATATTATTCTCACCGCGCACACGGCTGAGGTTTCGGAGGAGCTGTATTCCAGATAGTAGCAGACTGTATCAGCTCTCTTTGCGGTGGGTTTGTAAACATGCGAAGACGAATCAGGAATTCCAAGATATCTGGATTATTGGGGGAGGCAGGGAAGGGGAGGTTAGAGTTCCCGCCCCTCCCCCCCCGGTATGTCTCGTTATCCCTGCGTTATCCTGTCACTGTTATTTATCTCTGCGTGTGGGCACGGCTTGGATAGCCATACCGGTAGGATCTTTCAGGACTGGGAGAGGGGCGGTTAACTACACTCTAACAAGGGAGGGGATTTAAGCCTCTCTGCGTGTCTCCAGCCTCTCCCCTTTCCCTTGGCGCAGGGAATCAGCAAACGCCGAACGGAGGATCCGCCAGCAAAGTTATCCCTGGCAAGCCGAAATAGGGGAGTTTCCATTTTCTCGAGGTCTCTCGCGCAGCCGGCTGTTTCCTTCTAGAGCTGTAAAGCCAGATCTCTAGAAACCTCTCTGAGTGGGTATGATTGTTCCGCTAGGAATATTTCCTAGGAGGATCATTCAACTCTCGAGCCCTATTTAAAAAAAAAAAACAAAGTGACCCACTCAAGAGTCCGCCTGAAGGTAAGTTATTTAGACATATCCAGTCTTCTCCAAGACAGGAGATTTCCTAGTGCCTTGGCCCCAAATATGCTTCTAGACCAGCATCATCGGTGCTGTAGTTATCCGCGATTTTAGAAGACACTTTGTAATAGAGCATTAAGGAAAGTAGCTGCCTTTGCTAATCACACACTTTTATACAGTGAACCCCCGGCAGAGGTGTTACTCAGCCCTCTGTCCCTGGGATCGCTGATGGGAACCTGTGCCGCCGCCAGATAGAGAGAGAAAAGGAAAAACTGCACTTGCAAAAGGCGCAGTGGCAGGGATTGATTCATCGTGTGAACAAGAATCATACCCAGGGTTAAACACACACACACACGAAAGAAAGAGTGATCGCCCAGAGAACGGCTGCTTACTAATTCATGCTCTGACAAATAAGCAATTAACAGATAGAGTCGCTAATTAGTAAGCAGGTATTTCTATTATAAACTGTATTCAACCATGGAGAGGAGCAATAATGTACAGCAGCGACAAAGGTAGCACGAGCAGCCAGACTAGCTGGATTATAAGGACCAGTTTCCTATTAATGGGGCAGAGAAGGCTGATAGGGTTTATAATAGGCCCATATTCTTCCCCCAAGCAGGATCAGGAGTTTTGTAAAGATGGGTTAAAGGAACACTCGTCAAGTACTTGTAGGTTTCAACCCTATAGGTTTACGACAGCTTGGAGTGGAGGGGATTCCAAACTTCCATACAAGTAGAAATGTCTTCTTGCCTTTTAAGAAGTTTCAATAAACCCTGTTTTGGGAGGAATTTAAATCCAGCTGCTTGCACCCGGCTGCTTAAAGAGGGCCGCATGAGACAGCTGCAGAGAGACCCAAAAAGTCAAAGTGAGCAACTTTGTATGACAACTTCCACCTACTCTGTATGTGTATACATTTTCTAACTATATGTTTCATTCTATGCATCCGATGAAGTGGGCTGTAGCCCAGGAAAGCTTATGCTCTAATAAATGTGTTAGTCTCTAAGGTGCCACAAGTCCTCCTTTTCTTTTTGCGGATACAAACTAACAGGCTGCTACTCTGAAACTTTAAGGTAGTGCAGGCGGAGAGCAGGGAAGTGAAACCGCCTCGAGACAGAAGGTGGAATTGATCAAAACTGTGAAGCACAAAAAGGAAACAAACAGTGAGAAGTGTCAGATGTTTACAGGGTTTCAGCTTTAAATACACTTTAATACATTTTTAAATGATTATAGGGATAAGCATAAGTATGGGGTAGTTTGTAACCTATGAAACCCTTTGCAGGGTTTTTAATTTAGTTATTAACCCATATTAAGGATTTGTACCAGCAACGACTTATAGAGCTATCTGAATGGTGCACAAATCCAGCAACATTCACTCCGAGTTTTACATTAATTTGCTTCCGCTATAGTCATACCCCTTTTATGTTAGCTCTCTGCGAACATTCACATGCTCCTGTTTCACTGAGCAAGTGGTCATGGAAAATGCGTTTCTAAAGCAAGCCACCAAAGCATGTACAGCCACCAAATTTTAAATCAGCACACGCAAGTCTTTGTGCCAGAAGTACCTGTGAAGTCATCCAATTAGGGACCAGGAAGAAATATCACAATTAACTGACTAATCAGAGCTCGAACAATGCGGCTTGAATAGCAAATACGGTATACTTGCAGCGAACAGGCTGAGGTCAGTCGACGGAGTTAAGAGAAGTAATTGAATCAGGAGTCATGAGAAGAAACAGCTCTGTTCGTGGGGTATTCTGGGAGCAATAAGAGACGACAGTTGCTGAATTATTTATGAATGATCTGCTCAGGTCTACCCAAGTAACATTTTTAAAAATATTAATTGTCAGTGTTTCCAGCGGGAAGCGTAAGGCAAAAACCTCCTACCGCTCCCCAGCACTGTTTATCTGCCATAGAACTACAAGGGAACCAAGAACCTCCGGGGTTTCCACTTGTCAGAAAGATAGATCAGGGTCGGTGCCCCCCCCCCCAACTCGTTTATAGAGAACACATTTGTCCCATCCTCTCAAGGAAGTGCCTTTGGTCTCTTTGTCAGTCCCCGCTTGTCAAACAAGCCCTGCCCGTCTGAAATATTCATACACGCTCCAGCGCATATTCCAGGGAGACCCGCAGAGGCAGGCAGCCGCTGGGAGAGATGTGGTGTCCCCAGCGAGGCAGTCGGGGCCATAGCACAGCGGCCCCGTGCTGGAGACGAAGGATGCAGCGGGCGAGGCCAAGGCCCAGTTACAAAGGCCTCCATTCTCCCGGGGTCAGGGTTTGCACGCGGCCGCCATCCGGCCGTCCCTTTCCTGCGGGGCCGCCCGGCGGAAGCCGCTCTTCCTGGGCACCAGCCAGCTCCTGCTTCTGGTGTCCGGCATTTCCGTCCCCTCTCTGCCCCGGGACTACCACGTAACCCAGAGGGCTGGTTTGTGCTTATTCCCACTGCCCCGGGGGGAGGGGGGTACAAGCACAGTAGGGTCCCGCTGTTAGGGCTTAAAATGAGAAATCAAAAAAAAAAAAAAAAAAAGAAAAGGGGGGGGTGGGGCGGGGGAGGGAAACAGGGCAGCGCGGGTCCGGGGCAGGCAGGTGGGGACACAGGGCGACTCCCACCGCTGCAGCGCGGGTGTGAGCGGAGATACCTAGGCAAGGAGGCGGCCGGACGCCTGTAACTCTGCAGCAGCGGGGAGCCGGGAAAGCAGGGGGACACCTGTCAGGTGGCAGCACATAAGCCAGTACCCTCAACACCCTTCTGTGCTTCAGTTCCTAGGAGCTCCCCCTCCCTCTGAATGCTATGTGTGTGGGGGGGGGGGGGGGTGGATGCCTGCCCCATCCGAGCACGCTGCTCCCCCTGCCAAGGCGGCACTGTGGGCTAATGCACGTGAGGAGCTCTGCTTCGCTCTCAGCAGGTGTCAGACCTCCTCTGGGGGATACACCCCTAGGCTGTGTTTGCTTCCTTCCCAGATTCATTTTACAGCATTACTAGTGCCTCCGAACCCCTCGGGTATTCCCTGCCCTTTTGATTAGCTTCCTTCCTTACAGCAAATGATCGGTACAGAAAGAAAGGAGAAGGGAATCCAGTTCTGTTTCTCACCCTTAATGTTCACCCCCCAAGTCTGAGGCAGCTGCTCTGTGACAGGCTGGTAGTTGTTGCAGGTGGTCACTATTCTGTTGGGTTTGCCTTTTCCAGCTTTCACCTGCTTTCTACTTGGTGGGCGGGAGGGATGCTTACATTTCATTGATAAGGTTTTTGGGAGACCTCCTATTGCCATTGTGAGCCCTCAGCTCTTTGGTCAGTACATTCAGCTGCTCTTCTACCCTGTGCACCTGCCCTTTACCCTGCCCCACCCCTGGTGCTCTAAAACTGGAGACTTTGGGCTCTACCTCCCCCCCCCCCCAATCTGGCACTGCTTTTACCTTAGGGTTTGTCATACATGCTGCTGATCTGTTGCTTCTCTGCTTCAGCTCAGCGGAGGGCTGAAGTCAATATGCAAAGTGTGGGTATCCAACCACTGCCATGTAGCATCTTGCTCTCTGTTTTCTTCCTCCCTTCTCCTTTCTCTCTGCCTCCTTCTGTATCTATGCTTTCTTCCTCTCTCCTCCCCTCCCCCTTAGAACAAACCAAAAAAAACCCCACACAAACTGGTGCTAGTTAAAGAAATTCATGCTCCCTTTCTCTCTTTCTCCCCCCACTCATCACCCCAGCCACCTATTTTAACACACACCTCTCTGACTGCTAAGTCAAAGTGATAAAAAAAAAAAAAAGCCTCATACAAAGGGAACCAGAACTATCCAGGTCTCAATTCTCCCCTTCCCCTCTGCTCCACCATAATCAGTAAATGGCGTCGACTGCTAATCCTTTTGGTGCCAATGAATGATCTGAAACCACTGAGCTCTGCCTTGGGAATGGTACAACATCGCTGGAAAGGATAAGAGAGCGGCTCCAGAAACAGATGGCGTCAGCCTGAGGTGTAAGCTCTAGCTGGTATTGTCACTGCAAGGAGACTGCGCAGTTTGAGCTGCTTGTTGTAAAGCATTTAAAATCCACCTCACCACAGGAAACAGGTTGGCATAAGTCCATGTAAAATCTGCAAGGAGTCATTCCCAGTGGAGGCCAGTTTAGCACAGCCCCTACCTGCTCAGCCCCCGGGGGGAGGCAACTCCCAGCCAGGACCAGCTTAGGATGGCTTCCAGCAGCTTTGCCTGGGAGAGCATCCCCTTCAATTCACCTTGTAGGCCCATCTTTTTATGGATCCGTTTGAGACTAGGCTGCAATAGAGTGCCAGATGCACACCCCCCCTAAGATTAGCTGCTGGAGAGGAGACTGTCCTCATTGGTTACATCCCGCTGAGTGTGGGGTCACTAAAATCTGGTTTTGGGGATCCTCTTTAAATACACAGGAAGCTGATCTGTCAACATTGCATGGGTTTGAAAGTGAGCATGTGAGGGCCCACAGTCCCTGTATGCCCCCAGAAAAGAAGGTCCTTATGTGACAAGGAAGAGCAGCTATCATTAGGACATGGAAGAGGGGAACGTGCAAGTCAAACACTCTAGAATCTCCCCCGCTATTGATCATAGACTGCAAATAGCTATGAGAAGCAGCTAACAGAGGAGCCATTCCAACAACAATGCAGAGTTATTGCAGCGATACCATGAAATTCTGTGACAAAACTGATCCAGATATGTATCTAACCTAAGTATCTATACTGTGCTCATCAGTGGGGTATCTGATTGCATCTCCAGGCAGGATTTCTATAACATCAAGAGTGAAGAGACCCCCGAGGAGTTTTAAACAGAAGAGTGAATAGGGCCTATGTGCACTGCCCCACACAGATAACAATAATCACGACACACACAGTAGGAGCTCCACCCCACGGTGAAGGGTTGACCATAGGCCTATGCACTCACACCTAGGTCAATCATCCATCCATCCACCCACCTCAACTACATGCTGCTTTAATTCAGTGTACCTTAGCCAGCACAATTCCTCAGGAGCATGACAGACCTCCACCTCTGCTCTCTCACAGGCTGTTCACCATTTCCCACATTGCCAGCAGAGTCAGGCATTTGTGGTAGAACATGGTTGTTCACCTATATAATTTTAAAATGATACTTTTGCCCAGGTTTTCAAAAGACAGCAACACCCAGCGTGCTGAGTAATTTTGAATGTCTGCTTTTATTCAGGTGCCTAAATGGGAGTCGAGCGCTCCTGAGATGTAGAGGGTTTTCAGAGCCAGAGAGGGGAGATAGGTTGCTGCTTTATTGGACACGACAAATTTCCATGTTACTGGGCTTTTCTTGCTTTTGGTTTGCAATCGCCTCGCCTGCTAGTGGTCACAGGCCTGAAGGGATAATGTAAGGTGCTACAACTGCTACCAGTTAAGGGATATTCTCCTTGAGCTCATGTACCAGAGCTGCTTTTTGTGTCTCAAAGTCCATATTTCCATTTCGCAGCAGTTTCCTCAAAGAAGTGCCACATGTGTGTACTTACTGCTTCTTTCAGCTAATCTGATTGCTTATAGCTTGGCATATATTGGACATTAAAAGTCAAAATGTCCAAGAGAAGCATGGAAGACACCACTAGGGGTTCTTGAGACCTCTTACCTATACTATATGTAGATGCCATTGTCCAGCTGTTTCCCAAATCCAGGCACTGCATGCAACCAACTCACAACATGTTCAGCCCAAATGATTTAGATTCTTCAGGCCGGGCAAGACTCAGGTCAACCGTAGAGCCTTGGAAGGGTCACACACAGAATGACCTTTGTCGGATGCTGTAAATAGGCTGCACCTACCTTTGAAGTGAGTTTATGCTATTTACTTTCAGATTCCATTGGCCTTTATGGGAGGTCTCTGGGCTCAAGGGCCTAATGACCTATGCCTTTACACAGAGATATGCATTCACACCTTCCCCTCCTGTCCAGAAAAAAGTTAAAAGTACACTTAAAATTAATCACATTGGCCAAGCCAGTGAATATTTTAATGTATTTTATAGATGTACACAAAGCCACGAA